GCAGTTGCCATAAGGCCCAGCAATTAGACTCCTGGACATTTATTCCAGAGAAATAAAGACGATCTTTACATGGAAACTTCAACAAGACTATTTATAGCAGCTTTATCCATAATAAACAAGAAATGCAAACAACTCAGATATCCTTCAACAGGTGAATGATTAAACTGTGGTCCATCCATGCCATGAAATACTACTCAGCAATAAAAATGAGTGAACTATTGTTACACACAAAAACCTGAATGAATCACCAGAGAATCACGCCGAGTGAAAAAGCCAATCCCCTAAAGTTGTATACTGTATGATTTCATTTATATAACATTGTTGAAATGACAAAATTATGGAAATGCAGAACAAATTAGTGGTCGTCAGGGATGGGGGCGGCAGGAGGAAAGTGTGTGTGGCTATAAAGAAAAATCACGAGGGATCCTTGTGCTGATGGTAATGTTCTGCATCTTGACTGTATCAACGTCAATATCCTGATTATGATATGGTGTTATAGTTTTGCTAAATGTGGCCATTGGAGGAAACTGGGTAAATGGTACATGGGACCTCTCCGTATTATTTCTTATAACTGCATGTGAATCTACAATTCTCAAAATAAAAGTTTAATTTAAAAAGAAAAGCCTTTGAGAGTGTTTTATATGAAACCTTAAACTGCTTGAAGATGTGCAGTGGTAATGCACATGTCCCAGAAGACTTTTCACACAAGAGGAGTTGGTAGTTTGAATTATATGCTATTCAGGTTTTAAGCTCCCTTTTGCCAATCTAAGCCTTTCCTTATATCATCTCATAGAAGTGAATTTATCTCCACAAAGAATTCTTGGTAAATTCCCAAGTTTTAAGGCTACTAGGCACAGTTCTCAAGATCCCAAGAACACTATTATCTTATAATCACTCTCTCAAAAGCGGTAAAAATCCACATTAACTCAAGATCACACTGACAGCTTGTACATTTCTTTACTGGGAAACTGAATTCTGTATTTAAGAGTGTCTCTAATTCATGAACTACTCTACCCACCGGGTCATTCTAAAATTGTATTTTCTAGAAACTGCAACCAATGGCCAGACATAAGAATTTTTCCAATTCAGTGTAACATTAGTATTTAGAGAATCTTTAGAAAACCTGTCCCTATAAGAAAAGGCCTTTAACTGCGATGACTTTAAGTCACAGACAGAGCACAAATCATGGGGGTAAGCTTTTGGTCCTGCCTTCACTCCTGATTGGTTCTATGAGCATGGGCAAGTCACTTACATTGTTGGACCTTGATTTTTCGTATTTAAAATTGGCAGAATTAGCCATATTTCCATCATCTTCTCCCACCAGGAGAAGATTGTAATTTCACAGGTGAAAACATGGACTACTTAAGAAAAGATTCAAATTAAAGAGAAGAAAATTGATCCATCTGGCCTGTTGCTCACCTGAGTAGCAGCCAATGTGTCTCCACAATCCCCTTGGGCAACCATAGCTTCCTTTTCACTGATCCAAGCTTCCTCCTCCTCAGCCTTCTCCATGAACTGCAAGTATTCTAGAGACTCTCCCAGTCGAAGCCCTCTATAACAGGACAGTAAGCCCCAATAAGGATAAGAAGAAACTAGTCAGCAGTGGGAGTGCAGCAGAATAACACAGTCTCACAAGGCAGCCACAGTTGAACTGAGCCACAGAACCATCTGATACGTGCCTATTGGTCAGCGGTGCTGAACTCCTGTGAAAAGGGTGAGACCCTTGCCTCAGGAGTTCAGTTTTGTGGCATCATCCACTCTCTCTAGGAATTGGGAGAAGGAAACTTTCTCCAAACAAAAGTGTCAAGATTTCAGAGTTGGAGAGTAACAGCAGTGAAGCAGTGTCTCTACTCTGAGCACTGCTGTTCTTCTTATACAATGAAGACACCATAAAATGCTAGAATCTCCCCTTTATTCCCCAGAAAAACAGGTCTTGCTACTGCCAACAAGCAGGAAATTATAGGCAGAAATTATTCTATTTGGCTATTTGGCTATATGGTTCTAATTGGCTATATGGCTCTAAGGGAGAAAATATATTCCTTCATTCTTTCAATACCAAATGCTGCACGCAGTGCTAAAACTGGTGAGATATTCAAAGTAAAACAGACATGTGGGGAATAACTTGGTATGAAAGATAACATATATACGGCAACAATGATAAAAAACAGCTGCAAGTAAGTGCAGGAGTAGAGGTATAGTCAGAACACAAGCAGCAATCACTTCTTCTTGGGGGAAATGGGGAAAAGCTTCATGGATGACGTGGCATTTGAGCAGGGACTCAGAAGATAAATAGAGGTGGGTAGTTGGGGAGAGAAGTCAATGCTAAGTCCAATACCTACAAACCAGGAAGAGAATTGAGCCTCCTATCCCCAACTCACCGAGCCTTGGCCAACTCTTTGAGCTTCTCCCAGTGTTGAACAAACTGAGCCAGTCGCTTCTGGATCTGCTCTTGCCCCACAGCAGCCTTGTCTCCTAGCTTCTTTGCCGTATCCAGCACATTCTAAAGAACACATCCCCTCCATGTTCATTACCCCGTAGTCTCTTCCCATTTAGTCATAGTTCCCTGGAAAAGTATCTAGTCCTTCCTACCCTCTAGATCATTTATAAACTCCATGGTACTTGGGGTGGTCCTGAAAATCTCGGGAGAATGAAGGAAGCTGCTGTAAGATCTACCATGCTATACTTTCCCAAGTATTTGGACAAATACCTCAGTGCTTGCACTAGGCTATTCTCCATGATCTGCTTTATGGATTATTCATGGTCAAAGGATGACCCTGCTGCCAAGACAGACTCAGAGTTGCCTTCTTCCCATATGGCTTGGCTCAAGTACAGCTTTTGCAGATGTCCCAACCTGCATCTCAACTGTCAACCACGGTGCCCTGAAGTGTTATATGTGCTGCGTCCAGGGAAGAGCATGGGCTCCTGTGCAGAAGTATTCTATTGATTGGAGACAAAATGTGGAGAAGAGAACACTTGTGAACTCTATGACTGACTCTCTGTGTGACCTTGGTGTGCCACATTCACATTTTGTAGCATCATCCTATTTATCCATAACATGAGGGACTACTACCTCTGACTATCTCTATCTTTCTAGGTCTCATATTTGACTATTCCTACCTGGATGGCGGGTTCATGTGCCACCAGCTCCCCCTCTAGGCGTCTGTGCTTCTTCATTAAGTTTTGAACCCCCTGCAGATCCCTCCCATAGTCCTGGGAGCTCACTCGAATTAACTTATCCCTGGAACCAAGAAAGAAAACAAAAAATTTAGAGTTTAGACATCTGAGGTCATCCTAGAACAATGGTTTTCTAAAAGTGTGTGTGTTGCTAGGGGTGGGGAGGGAGCTAGGGTGGAGAGGGGGTAAATTCTGGAACATTCTGGTAACAACCACAAAGATAATTAATGCCAGAAGCTTTCAGCAAAACTTCTGCCTTATGCCAACATGCACAAATTAAAATAATATACTAATATCCAGCATATGCACAACTGTTAACAGCCTTCCTATTAGTTCCTCTGCCTGTCTACCTCTGTATCTTTCCATCTTTGCTCAAGAACATACACTAATGTTTCTCTTTCTAAAACAAAAAGTGAAAATTACACACACACACATATAAAGAAACAAATGTACATATATGAACTTCATAGCCTTTATTATTTTTAGCTGTTAATATTAATAATGAGTTTAGGTAGAATGAGTGTAAAGAGCTGATAGTATAGGAGTAATGGCAGTTGGATTGGTTCTGAGCATAAAATGTTTGACCATTGTCATGAAGCACAGCCAAAGACTACATACACAAGATCATATTACCTTACTGTTTCTAAAAAGGTTTCCAAAATGTCCTACTTATTGCTCTATGTACAATGCTTTCCTCTAATTCATTGATTACTAGTAAGAATCATCAGGTTTGTATAAGAGTAACATGATGAGGCAAATTTAATGACAAGTAGGGAAAAGAATTTGATTTACTAAGATTTTATCAATCATATTTTTTATAGGAAAAATAGAATTAGTAATGAAACTATGGCAGGTACTGTGTAACATTCTCTGCCCAGTGTCCAGTTTGGCGTCATATAAGATACAGAGAGAATAATGAAAATTATCTCATCCGCTGAGTAAGTTGTAAACGCCCAGCTGTCTTCACGAGCATTACACATTCTATGAACTACCTAGAACATTCATTTTGTTCCCAGAATATATGTGAACTGCTCCCCACTCCCTGCATGCTTGCCTCCCTCTGCCTGTATCCAGTGAGAGACTTTGGGAAAAATAAAATCAACCAATATTAACTTTAGGCTAAGGCACACACGATTAAGAAGTCATACCAACTGCAAGAAACAATTACATATTTCATTTCCGCATCAAGTAGGAACATGTTTGGTAGATTATCTATTCTCCTGGATTACCCACACAATGTGAGTTGGCAGTACGTACTCTATCCAGGATTCCTCATCATCCAGGTCTTGGAAGAACTGGAACAAGGCGTAGTCCTCTTTCAATTTCTCATGGTGTGCAGCTGCTAAGTTCTGGACATTCAGGAAGCGGCTGTTGACATTATCTCTTTTCTCCACAATTTGGTCAGCATTGAAAGTCCCACTGGAGAGCAGATCAGTAGCCAACTGATTCAGGTCCTTGAGTGCATCCTAGAAAGCCCCAGTGTGCTCAGTGAACAGTATAGCACAGGCATTAAGTAGATCCCTGACTTTAACCATTGCTGGTTCATGTTCAAAGACCGCGTCAAATAGACTGTTTTAGAAAATAGTGAATTTGATTTTACGCTCTTTTAACTCAGATTGGATAAGGCCAAGGTCAGAGGACATTATAGAGAGCATGACTACATTACATAAGCTGCACACTTGGCCTTCTGTGTCCTGTTCTTTCAGAAGGTTTCCCATATATTTGCTTCCTCTCCCAACTAGAAAATAAGACCTTGGTGAGCCAGCACTCTGTCCCCAAACAGGACTGACTTCTTCACAGTACTGAATTTGACATAGACTGATTGACTGAAATACTCAACAAGAACTACTCTATTGGTAACATTCTTAGACTGGCCTCAGAACACACTCAGCCTCTTCTGTGTCTATTTTCATTCTAACTCTGCCCCCCAGTGATGTCACAGGAAATATCATCGTCCTGAAATCTTTATGTCACAGGGAATATCAAGTCCTGAAATGAACTCAGAAAGCCTCTGACTTCTTGTCCTTCCTGTGGGTATCTGTATCACCAAATAAAACTGATAATATAAAATTCTCCTGTATAAAATTAACACCTACCAGAATGTTTATCACTGCTCCTAGGATAAATCTCTGCTTGATATTAGGCTGCAACTAGAATTCTTCGTAGAATTTCCATAGCATATATGTAGTTCACTTTCATTGCGTATAACCCCATCTGATTTTGCTGTTTTTCTCTCTAATTCTATGAAATAAACTTCCATCTTCTTTCAAAGACAGATCGAATATGCGGCTTTGGAAGATGGTGAGTTTATATGCATGCATCACTAAAAAAAAGTAGCTTTTAGGATCCACTTCCTGGAGTCTTAGAACATATAGTTTAATGATCATTGGTTAACAGTGACTGTTGAACAACTCTGCAGTGCATGTATTTGACCCGGTTATAATAACTGCTGGCTGAGAACACTAAGGACAGTTTTGCAAGGCTATGTTCTCAAATGATCTCCTAAGACAGAAGAGGGGAAAATCAGAAACATTTCCATTCCACCCAGAGGAGTGGGATTCCAACACTACTTACCTCTCGGGTCAACATCTCTGTTTCCAATAACTGATGCTTCTTGAGCAGGTTTCCTGCAGATGCCAAGTCCCTGGCCTGATCTTTCATGGCCAGCAGTGTTTCTGCCTGGGAATGGAAGAATAAGCAATAAAGATGCCAGATGAAAACTATCTTTAAGGAGAATAAGATTAGCAACTATGCCCTCAAACTTTTCCCAAGAAGAGTCAAGGAAACTGTTCATGCATAAATTCATTTATTCGACAAGTATTTATTAAGCTCCCATGTCCCCACCATTTCCAGGTGCAATTACCTCTGAGAGCCAAAGCTCAAAGTCCCGGATGCCTGTGTTGAACCTCTGTTGGCGACTAGCCTCATTGAGCTTCTCTCCTTTGTCAATTGTTTTCGTAAACAGGTCGTCCCAGTGTTTCTCCAGCTCTTCCAATTGACCCTTACCAAAAGAAATTGAGGGATCATTATAGTCTTTAGGATCCTGGGTCCTGTGATAACTTGAAAGGATAATGTAGGAAGGCTCTGGAGTTAGGGACTAGTCAAAATCTGCCAGTACTTGAATGCCATACATTTTAAACCAGTTATGCTTAATCTGGGAAAACAATGGGAGATGATAGAAGATAATTTGAAGAAAGGGTCCTGGGCTGATTACAGCAACTGATTTCTTAATGCTAAAAGACTCTTGGCAGGAGGGATAGAAAATGTAAAACAAGCATGATAATACTTAGGAATTCAGTCTAAAGCTTTCTTGGAGTTCTAGGTACTCAGTGTGATGGGAGTGATAAGATCTGAGCATCACTGTTTTCCTCCTTCTTTGTGCAACAATCAGAGAAAAGACTATTAACTACAGAACATACTTCATATCCTTACACATGAAACATTGAAAGTAAAAGATTTCTCTTCATGTGCCTTTGTAGCTCCAAACCCATCCTGAGCAGAACTCCTACCTTCACGGTCTCTTCTTTGCCATCACACGCTCTCCGCTCAATCAGGGAATTCCCCATGTTGATGACTCCTTTCACCTGCTCAGCTCGGCCATTGACTTCATTTTCAAAGGTCTGGTGCTTCAGATATTTCCTCTGAAGGGAAAGCAGAAATTAAATTACCCTTTTATTTAAAGAAGAAGATAAGGTAAAATTTATTTAAAAGGAACAGTTAGTGTTTCTATCATAACCAAAGTGATAATGACTTCTGAAGACCTGCTTCATATTTGCCTCAGAAGTCCCTGAAGTCATGGACAGTGGCCTAAACAGTTAAAGAAGTATTCGTTATAGGCAGATGACCAATTATCCAACAGTCTGGGTATGCTGAAGTTTTCTAAGATTCTTATTTTGAACTTGCCTGAATGTTGGTGGGGTCTTTGTAGGATTCATCACAGGCTATGGGCAGCATCTCACTGATCCATTCTTCTAGGTCTTCAAGGTCACGGTAGAATTGTTTTAGGTCAGCATAGTCTCCCAATTTTGTACGCTCAGCAGTCAGCTGTTCTTTGAGAGCCTTCCATCTGGAGGAAGTGGCCAAATCACTCTCTGCCCCTTACCCTTCCCCCAAGCTCTGATATCATATCCATGACTCTTCCCATTTTCCAACCTGTCCCTTCTCCTCTCATTATTTATACATTTATATGCTATATATAACATAGTCTTACTATTTTCAAATATAAATATAGTGGTTAAGCCAGGTAATTTCTAAGGTACCTCCTGTGTCTTTCATTTTATGAGGTTAGAAAGTTTCCCAAAGTTTCAAGATAGTTTTAGGCATCTAGGAATGAGAAGTTGCCAGCCCAGTGATGTAGTTGTTAAGTCCAGTGCTCTCCACTTCGGTGGCCCAGGTTCGCAGGTTTGTATCCTGGACACGGACCTACACAACTTGTCAAGCCATGCGGTGACCCACAGAATAGAGTAAGATTGGCACAGATGTTAGCTCAGGGCTAATCTTCCTCAAGCAAGGGGAAAAACAAAAGAGGAAGATTGGCAACAGTTGTTAGCTCAGAGCGAATCTTCCTCACAAAAAACAACAAAAAAAATGATGTTAGAAATGAGAAGAACTCAGAACGTTACCCCCATCCTTAATGCTAGCAAAGAGGTCACTTTGCTACATCTTCCTCTAGCTCACAAAACAATTGCCCAGGCCTGACCTGTCTAGCACATGTTTGAGCCGAGCAGCAATCTCTTCCTTGGCATAGTGGTCATCATCTATGAGCTGATCAGCAAAATGTTCTAGTTCAGTGATCTTCTTTTCCTAGACAAAGGAAAAGGAAAAAGCCCAGGAGGCTGGAGTTTAGGCTGTTATTGCAATCTCTGACCCCTCCTAGAAGAGAGCAGAGATATTCTTTGTGGCTTCATGAAGGGAAACAAAATCAGGGCCAAAGAGTAAATGCCTTACAAGGAGGTGGATTTCAACTCAACAAGAGGAGAAACAATAATGATTCTGAGATGGACTACTTGTGTGGTACTGAGTTTCTTAAAGAACAGACACTTCCCATGGCCAATATCCCACTTTCTGCATTGGGAAGGATACTGGAATAGACAGTATATAAAGTCACTTCTAGTTCTAAAAGTTGGGTTTTAAAAGGCTAGACTTAAAGTTAGAAAATCCAATGCCACACCGTGACTTGGGTAAGACTAAGCCACAGTTTCAACCTGCCCCGCCTACCTCAGAGTTTTCTGTAAGAAGCAAATGGGAATAAAAATACTTCTAAATCTTAAAACCACATATATGTGTAATATTTCTGTCATTATTACTAACAGCTATTGTTGGAACTCTTGTACTATTTGTTATTACCTGGGCAGTGATTGCTTTGTCCAAATCATCGCGTTTCTTCATCAAGGCCTCCAGACTGTCTAATAAACCCTTATCATCTGACCTCAGGACATTCTCACGTGCCGCCATCCAGCTCTCAGCCTGATCACAGTTCCCTTGGAACAACTGCAGGGAATAAAAGTAGAGGTAGATGGTATATCATTCCAGGGGACAAAGGAAATTATCTTACCCTTCTCGTTTGATATTGATATATGGGATTCTTTAAGGGGTGCTTACATTCTTCCGAGAAACATTCATACCATGAATCTGAGCTATACTGGACATTTTACTCTTCCCTGAAAACACATTTTATGTTTTTATATAAGCTATATTCCATTGTTGGGGTGCTATTTCCCATATCCTACACCTGGTGAATACTAGCTGGTTATTTCTTTAAGACTCTGGTAAACACTATCTTTCAGGGTAGTCTGTGACACTCTCACTCCCTTCCCTCTAAAGCATTAATCACTCCTTCTTCTTTATCTTCAAAATATTCATACATTTTCGTTTTATTAATAATCATCTTACTGTACTAGAATGATTTGTCTACATGTAAAATTTAACTTCTTAAGAAAAGGGACACTATCTTACTAATTTTTCTGTTCCCAGGGCCCTGTATACAGTAGGTTCTCAATAAAAATCAATCAATCAAACCCTCAATCAATAAATAAATTATAATAACCCTGCTTCATGCCCAGGACTGACTCTTATTTTGTTTGGTGCTTCTAACAGAGATAAGAGCAAAGAACATGAAATGATCAGTCTACAAAGCAGAGAATACAATGTCAGATAATCAAGAGATATCCTTGTGCTTACCGCATGAGAAGCCCAGTGAAATGAGTGCCTGTACTAACCATGTAAAATTGCATAGAAGGAACAGACTGAGGCTAATTCTGCTTAACAACTGGGAATTTCCGTACCTGCAACTGCAGACACTGATCTAGCATCTTCTTGCGTTGTTCCCAAGCTTTCTCCAAATCATCCCTCTCTAGTCTGACAGCTTGAAGCTTTTCTTGAATTTCAGGGCTGGCACGGTGCCCACTGTTTATAAGTTCTGCACCAAAGTCTTCTAAGTCCTGGAAGTTGGGAGCCTTGGCCTCCATGTCAGCATGATGCTCCTGTGGGAAAAATGGAGAAGAAAGTGGTGAGGCCAATGACATCTCACCAAAGTTGTAAAGTAAGAGAAGGTTGTGAGGTCATGTGATCAGTGGCTATGGCTTTTGTAGCTATACCTGATGTCGCTCTATCAAGATCTCGGTGCCAATTAAATCCTGAGCCAGCTCCTGTGATGATACCACGCCACTAATGCCACTGATCCAATTCTGTAAGTCCCTAGAGAAATAGACATATTGGGATTGACAAGAAAACCTTGCAACTTGCTACAGGGCTGTCTGTCCTTGGGCTTTTTCCTCTCTAGAAAACGTTTCCAGATTAACACATTCTATTTGGCTTTATATGTGTCACAGATCTTAGGTTTGTTATTTTCACTGTGTGACTTAAAAATAGCAATCCCTGGCATTTGAAAATCTCTTCACATGTATTATCTCTTTCAATTCTTGCAACAGTCTTGTATAGAATTCTGGGAATTCTTTTGTTTCCATTTTTTATACTGTGTGCAAAACTATAGCTTTCCAGAGACGATGTATTGGGAAGAGTGTTGCCAAGAACAACTACCATCATTTGCCAAAATTTGCCTCCTTTTTTTCAAAAGTATTACATCGTGAGCTAATACTTTCTGGACCCTCAATCCTAAATGCTCCTCCTAGCAGACTTATATAATGGGGCAGAGAATGTGGGAATTGTTGCACAGATAGGGTGTGTATTTGCTAGACTCTGATAACGTCTAGACTCTTTAGGAAGGCATTGAAAATTCTCTAGGATTTGATCTCAGCATTTCTAAGTGTGTCTCCTGCTCCTTCTCCTCACCCCTCTGACCCACAAAACCTGTGCTCTAGCTGCCCTCGCTTCATGGACATGCTTTACCTTTCTTATCCTTGTGCCTTTGTTTGTATGGTTCCATCTATTTGTTAGGATGCCTGTTTTGGATTGTATTATGTTCCACCATGGTCATCTGTATTCTTCTCTGCCTCTCCAGTAGAATGAAAACCCCCATATCCTACAACTACTGACAGAGAACCTTATATATAGTATAAATTCTGTAGAAGCTTACTTAATTGGCCTAGATAGCCTTACACTCCTTCAAACTTCAGCATTTTATGGCTTGAAGTACTGACCTTGAGTTATGTGTGCCTTACCAGAGGAAAGATCTGGACAGAAAGGTGCTCTCCAAACCAAGTAGCGAAGAGCACCTGTGCCCAGACTGTTTCTAGAAGCTCGACTCAGACGCTAGACGTGGAAATTGCCCACCCCACCTGGTGGAGATCTTCCTTTTGAGCTTTACCTGGCCTTGCTGAGGAACAGGTAGAATTTCTGGTCCTCCTTTAGGTTCTCCTTACGATCATTCGTACGCCCCAGCAGGTCATCCCAGGCCTCATTCAGCTCCACTCGCTGCCTCTGCAGGTCGTCAGTGGCATCTGGATGGGACTCACTGAGCCGCTCTGCTGTCTCCCCCAGTATGGTCACCTGGAGAAGTGCAGGAGCTCTGATAATCAGCCTAGAGTCACACCTGAATGCTAGCGAAAGAACAGTCCTGAGCCCTGGTGGCACTCACTCCTCAAATAGACATCAGCGGGGTACAAGAACATCTTGTTACTTTATGAAATAATGCCATCCCTTTGGTACACAAGATAACTACATGAAGTAGTCAACATGATATTACCATATGTTTTTTAAGATAAGAAGACTAGCGAACAGGGTGGTTAAGTGACTACTAGTTAGTGGCAACATAAATTAGTGGCCCAACTCCCAAATTTAATGTGAAGATCTTTCCAATACAGACATTTTCTGTGCTTCTTTTTACTCTGCGTGATAACGCCAAGATGTTCGATGCCTCTGATTTATCCCAGTGCGTATCAGGAAAGCTCCAGAGTTCATTTTTGGTTGGAGTAGGATTAAGCTCATTCAATTACTAGTGTAGGAAACCCTGTACCACGCTCAGGCATAGGCCTGGCCATGCTGGGTCTGGCTGTTTCCTATTTATCTTAGGCTGCTGACCTCCAACCAACTTTTGTACATTCTGGTCACTTGGAACCCACTAAGGAGGCACTTGGACAATAGGAGGGTCGTTTCCAAAATGTTTCCCCCCCATGTTAATTGTTCCTGGGGGATGTCCTTTTAGTGGCCTTGCCTTAGGGACAGGGTACAAGAATAAGTATGGAGTAAGATAAAGAGAAATGTAAGAAGAAGGGGTTGGGAAATAAAACCAAAGAAGAGGGCTTTGATAGGAATAACCATGAAGAAGAAAGTATTAGAAAAGCTCGGAAGCACGTGTCTCACCTTTTCCCCCAGGGGTATGAGGTCTCTCTCAAAGCCGTCATGCTGTCGCTGAAGGGCCTGAACACTGAACAGGTCTGAGCCAGGATCCGCAGCACTGAGGGCCTGGCACTTCTTTTCAATCTGATCCTTCATGTCATCTGCATCTCTGGTAAATAAGAGTAAAGAGTTTAGCAGCAATAATGTGTACCAGAGGCAAACTAGCTGGGCTCACAGGGAAGTCATCACTACCATCATCATCACCATCCTTCGTAACGTGCTAGAACTTAGGCTCATTGAATCTTCACAACTACTACTTGAGGTATAGTTACTATTATCATTCCCATTTTGGATATGAGAAAACTGAACCCTAAGAGGCTATTTTCGCAGGGTTATACCCCTGCTAAGTGGTGGAGCCTAAGTTTGAACCAGGCGGCCTGACTGCAGAGGCACATGCTTAACTACTATATTTCATGGCTTTCCATCTTAAGCCATTCTAAACAATCAAACTCGTCTGCATTTCAGTTTTCCCTTCTCTGAATATTGCAAAATACATTTATATACAGTGAATGTGTTTGGTTTCCATTTTGTTTGTTCATTTGTTTGCTTACTTAGTTACATGTGTATTTTTTAGTGTAGACACAGATTTGGAAATCAGACATAAAAAATTGTTGAATCGGGGCCGGCCCTGTGGCATAGCAGTTAAGTGCACGCACTCCACTGCTGGCAGCCCGGGTTCGGATCCCAGGCGTGCACCAACGCACTGCTTGCCAAGCCATGCTGTGGCAGGGCCCCATATAAAGTGGAGGAAGATGGGCACAGATGTTAGCCCGGGGCCAGTCTTCCTCTCCAAAAAGAGGAGGATTGGCATAGATGTGAGCTCAGGGCTGGTCTTCCTCCCCAAAAAAAAAAAAAAATTCTTGAATCAAGAGTCAATGTGATGTATGTTGCCCTCTACTGTCTACTTCTAGTTTAGAAGTACAATTACTTAAACCTCTTGTTTCTACTTCAAGTTTCATTCACAATCATGAAAACATATATAGACTGCTAATTATGTACCAGGGCCCAAGCCTAGGCACTAGAAAATTGAAGTTGATTGTCTGGGGGTATCCTATGTGCCAAGCGAGGAGTGTACTACTAAAGCACCTGATCTCCTATTATCTCTATCTCGGGAAGAAGGGTTATATTTATAGCTATGGTTCTACTATAGTAATTAGACTTAGGGTGTTTTGAGCAGGTTCTAGAGCAGCACTGCTTTTTAGGGTTAAAAATTCTCACCTGTGAAACATCTGGACAGCATGGGCACTGCCCAGCAGCTGGCGCTGTTCCTCTGCAAGCCGCTGCAGGGAGTCCCAGCGTGTATTCAACTCCTAAAAGAGGCAGACATATCAGACCTTAGCTGGGAAGCTAACTCAGACAGCTCAGTGGTGTCTGAAGACTCGATGGGGTTTAAATCACAGTTGTTTCATGTTATCTCTTTCAGAAATTGCAGAGGTTTATTTCTCTCTCGGAAAGCTTGAGCTTGAGCCTCATTTGTGTCAGTGCGATTAAGAAAGGGATTACCTTCCTTCCCAAACTGATGTTCCAGGATGAAGCCATCAACCCTGGAGCAGCAAATGATGTTTGCTGCCACAAAGACTACATTGCAATCTCCGAAAAATAAGTGGAAAGTGTTGCCTTGGTGGTTAGAAGCTGTTAAGTTTCTCTAGGAGAAATATAATACCTTTCTGCATCCTGAATGGACTAAACCAAGAAGCCTCTTAGAGCCCTACTTTCTGCAGAGAGTAAATGAATTGTTCCTATACACATGCCTTCTCCCTCTTACCCCATGTCAACTACCACAAAAGAGGCAGAGAATTCATCCTCGCTGGTTTATGACAACCCAGGGAGCTGGACTAGACATTTCATTAACATTCATTAGATCTTTTATGGAACCATAAGTACAAATCTGAATCAGGTCTAGAATAGCCCCTCCCCCATCTCTACTGACCTATATCCTTCTCCTTCTTTCATCATATTTTATCAGAGCCTATCACTTCTAGTGAGCTTTCTTGATTCACCCCTTCCCACTATCATAGCTCCTTTATCTGCATTTTCTTTGTATCATGTATTTGAGCACTGAATTTCTTGTGTCTGTGGTGGTCAGGAGGAGGTGGAGTATGTGTTGTAATTTAAGGATTTCAGATCAGTTAAAATGTATACATGGCTGGACTATTTGGACTATTGTCTTTGACCTTTCCTGTAGTCAGCTCCATGTTGCCGTTACCTTTGGCATGTTCTCGCTGATTTGTGGAATATGAAGTTGAGTATATTTAAGTGAAATGAAGACTCCCAAAGCTCAACCTAGTAGTGAGGAGAAATGGAAGGAGCCTTAGTTACCTGCCGTATTTGAGCTCCTTCTGGTGTTAGAAGGTCTTCAAATAGAAGATCATCAGCCACCTTGTTGATATCCCTCAGCCGAGGCTCATTGGTCTTCAAATCCTGGATGGAAAAATTTGTCCAAAGCAGTGTAAATCCTCTTCTCAAGACTCTTTTATACTTGTCTGCTCATCTCTGCCTCAACTCGGCTAAAGGTTAAAACATATCACAAACCTCACTTGCAATACACAACAATCCACCGTACTCCAATCTATCACAAATAAGACTAACTTTAAACTCCCTGACACCTGGTGGCTATCAAAAACTTGGCAAGAGAGCTGTTAGTTACCTGGAGTATGGAGTATACCTATTTTCCTAGATTTCTTAAAAATCTCCCCACAGATTAAATTACACCATCAGAGGGGTCTATAGCTGAGCCATATAATATTCTTTTATACCATTATAAACTCCTCCACCTTCTATAGAATGTCATTGACTGAGTTGCAATCTGCTTATATTAGGGTATGTTGTAAGAAACAGCTCTAGGAAGCTCATCACTATGTCCATGGTGATGATATTGTTCATTACATTATACAATGGCCTTTCAATGTGTTGTCTCATGGAAGTCTCATTTTGGTATTCTTTTACAATTTTAGTCTTGTTCCCCTTTCTTTTATTTTTCTCTTTTTAAATATATTCCTAAATTATTTGTGTGTGTATATATATATATATGCACACATATATATATAATCTCTATCTCTAAGAGATATCTATCATCTATCTATCTGTCTATGGCCTTGAATTCATTTGGAAGGTATCATAAAAAAAGAAAGGAAGGAAGGAGTTTACACTCATGCTAGTTAAGATAGTAGAATAAATCTGACAGAATAAAGGGTAACGGAAGAATTTTAGGTAGGCAAAAACTTAGAAAATGTCTAGCTGTAAAGTCAGGTTGTTATTCCTATCTTCCCACCCCAACTTCTACCTCATAATTAAACCTTAAACAGAGTCCCAAAACACCCCATCTCAACCTGGGCATCAGGAACACAGTACGGTATAGGACAAGTTTTGAAGATTTAGGGAGACTAGCATTCCCAGTAGGATTTGGGAGTGGCAGGGACTGCAGCTGCAAAGCTAGGGTGACTAGTTTCCTCTGCAACCTCTTTCCATCTACAATACCCAGAGGAAGATTTGAAATGTGGAACTCTCAGTGACTTTGGGGAGGATATTTAGCAAGTATGAAGTTAAGGAGTTACTTAGGAGGAGTTATAAGATAAAAGGAAACAATGATAACCCTTAAAAAGCTGTCTAGAGAAGAAGGTTCCTCTTTCTCACCGTTTGGAACTCATCAAACTTTTTCTGAAGCTCCCAAACATCATCTAGTTCCACCCCAGTGTTATCTGCCTTTTTCTCTCGGATCCAGTCCAGCATGTCTCCTGCCTCATAGGCCAGCAAAAACTCATTGTAACGTTGCAATAGACGACGTCGGCGTTCTTCTGCACGATCAAGGAGGGAGCGGTACCTGAGTGGAGAAACGAAGAAAATGGGAGAGGAGGAACAAAAAATGGAGAAAACATAGAAGAGTAGAGGCAGGGTGAGAGAGAGAGAGAATGAAAGGAATGAAAAGGAGACAGAGGAAAAATCAAATGAAGAACAGTAAAGGAGAAGAGGAAATAAAGATGGAATGAAAATAGCACTATGAACAGAGAGATATACGTGCAGTGTTCCATTTAAAAATAATTAAAATGTCAATATTCCAATAATGTGACTGGCAACATCCTTTCCCCATCTTATAGAAGTGAAATTTCCACAGGCCTGTGGACAACTGGATATGAAACAGCCTGGTATAGTCAACAAAGTTCACATGAAAGTCAGAAGACCTTGG